AAAAATGGCTCTGATGCAAGTGGGGACTCTCACCGTGCTCAGGTTGTTAGAACCAAGGAAGAAAATCCTGCAGCAGCACGTTGAAAAACAAACCTTTCTCCAAAGTATTCAGCATTTAATAATTCCAAGCTGTGAACTCTGAATCACAACATTTGTGTCTTATATGGGGTTCAAAACCTGCTTTTACAGCTTCATTTGGATATCTGTTCACAGTTTTATAAAAGTAAGATTGAGGGCAGTCATTTGGTACCTTATCTCTGGCTCAGCTCAAAAGTAAATATTGAATCAAGTGTAAAGATTAACACTTTCACTTATGTAACTGGAGATCAGTGTAGAATAACGATAAAATGTATGTTCTGCAGGTTCAAGAGAATTCCCCAGCCCAACAAGGAGGACTGGAACCTTTCTTTGATTTCATCATTGCCATAGGACACACGAGGCTTGTAAGTCTCAAACAATTTCAATGTTTTTTTCCACCCTCCATGAACTGTGGGTGCTGTAACGATGATCAAAGGTAAAAGCCGTAACTCGCACAAGTAGAGAAACTTTTCACATTGGACATTAAAAGTAAAGTAAAACTTGAAGGTGTTCAAAGTCACTTTGGCTGGATCCAAGTTTGAAGGAAAGATTTTGTTTATGCCTTTACTCACCTTAACTTCTTAACAGGTTAACACAATGTTTATGTTATTGCTCATTTGTACATATTTTGTACTACAAGGTGAATACTGAACTAGTGAGTCAATAGAGCTCAGTATTTGTTTAAACAAAATAGTTTCAACATTTGATAAAACACGGAAAAGAATCATAGCCTGTCTACTTGTACTTTCAAGACAAAGAACACAGCTCCTGTGTGTTATGAGAGAAGAGCTGAGTTTTGGTCTGGTGGGGTTTTTTTGAGTTTTGATTGGGGTTTTGTTAAGGCTCAGAGCTTTACCTTGTATGCTCCACCCTAACCAAACACAAGCTGAATTCATTAAGTTTTGTCTTGTTTTTATGAGATATCTTTTTTAGAAGTGATCATTATAAGTGCAGATTTGGGGGGAAGATCATTTAATCTTCTAACATGACAGAAATGAAGATATTCTTTCACAGTCATTTTGCAGTGACTTTGAAGGGCTGTTGAAGAGGGATGAGAATCAGAGACATGAAGTGAAATGTTGCTGCTCATTGTTAAACACAGTCGACATCTGATACTGCTGGTATTATTTAATAGCAGTTGTGAAGGAGAGAAATGCCAGAGATGAAATGGAATAACAGGAAGTATTTATGTAAAGGGATGTGTGTTGACAGTACTGACTGCTTTATAGTTAAAGAAAATTGAATTGGAAATTGCTGGGATTGTTTGTGAACCACAGAGCCTAAACTTTCATACTTTTGGTTCTTTGTATTCAAATTCTGCCACAGATGTTACAGGTGCAACTGGAAATAACGTTAATCCTGTATCTCTGCTCTACAGAACAAGGAAAACAATATGCTGAAAGACCTGCTGAAGGCAAATGCTGAGAAAGCAGTGAAGCTGGAGGTGTATAACATCAAAACAATGAAAATCCGAGAGGTGGAGGTGATCCCCAGTAACATGTGGGGAGGACAAGGCCTCCTTGGAGCCAGCGTGAGGTTCTGCAGCTTCCAGGGAGCCAATGAACACGTGTGGCACGTTCTGGTGAGGAAGAATCCTTGGCTGGCTCATTATTGGTTGTGTAACCTTGTTTTACAAATGTGATGTTTAGCAGTAATGTAAAGTACAGCAACGCAGTCACACAGAGGAAGGGAACACAGTCCTGAAGGTTTGTCTGAGCTATTTGAGTAGGGACAAGAAGTGGGTGGCTGTCAGGGTTCCCAGTGACAGTGATAAAAGTAACTCCATCCCAACTGGACCAAACAGGATAGGTGGGAAGGGTTTTTTCATTTTATGTTGAAGAATCAATGGCAAAAGCAAAAAAGATTCTGGCCTGATTGTCTCTGTCTTGGCTAAACTTCATTAAAGTAATATTAATCTTACAAATAGCACCACAAATTTATTTTAAAATTAAGAGTAAGAGCTGAAAGAGTAGAACTGAATAGGAAAGAATGTTTATGTTTCTGGTTGTTTAAGTAAATGCAATTTCTCAACATGTTCAGAGGATGTAATTTTAAATTGGTAAAATTTTCTTACTTAACATGTTTTACATCTTTCTTACTTAGCATCTTTTACAGGATGTCACACATAGATGTAGACTATTCCAAGAGCTTCTTTTTTATTCCATTCACAAAATGCTCTTTCCTTCCTTGCTCTGGAAGTTAG